ACAAATGGTGTTGGAAATACTGGATGTCCACATGCAAAAGAATGAAGCTTACTTCATTCTACACCACATACCAAAATTAACTCAAAATGGATTAAAGACGTAAATGTAAGACATAAAGCTAAAACTCCTGAAAGAAAATATAGGGGGAAAGCGTCAATACATAGCATTTGGCAATGATTTCTTGGATATAACACTAAAAGCAAAGGCAGCAAAATAAAAAATAGATACATTGGAATACATCAAAAATTTAAACTTCTGTAAAAAGGACAATCAACAGAGTGAAAAGGCAGACCATGGAATGGAAGAAAAATCTGCAAATTGCACATCTGATAAGGGGTTAATATCCAAAATATTTAAAGAACTCCTACCAACAACGGAAAAAAATAACAAAAAATAAGCAAAGGTCTTGGACGTTTCTCCAGAGCCAGTATACAAAAGTCCACCCAGCATATGAAGAGATGTACAATATAAATAATAACTAGGTAAATGCAAATAAACCAATGAGATATCACTTCAAATCCATTAGGATGGGTAATAATAGAAAAAAGGAAAATAGTGTTATCAAGGATGTGCAGAAATTGAAATTCTTGTGTATTATTGGTGGGAATATAAAATAGTGCAAACTTTATGGAGAACAATATGGCATTTCCTTAAATTTTTTTAAATAGAATTACCATACAATCTAGCAATTCCACTTCAGGGTATATATCCAAAAGAGCTGAAAGCAGGATCTCAAGAGACATTTACCCCACGTTCATAGCAGCATTATTCACAACAGCCAGGAGGTGGAAGCAACCAAAGTGTCCAACAACAGATTAATGGGTAGGCAAAATGTGGTATACGCAAAAAAATTTTTTAAATGTGGTATACACATACAATGGAATATTATTTTAGCCATAAAAAGAAATGACATCCCAACACATGCTACATGTATGAACCTTGAGGACATTATGCTAAGTAAAATAAGCCAGTCACAAAAAGACAAATACTGTATGATTCCATTTATAGGTGGCATCTCTAGAGTAGTCAAATTCATAGAAACAGAAAGTAGAATGGTGCTGTTCTTTGATTGCCAGGGGCTGGGGGTAGGGGGAAATGAGGAGTTATTGTTTTGAAAGGACTTTCAGTTTTGAAAGATGAAAATGTTCTGGAAATTGGTTGCACAATAATGTGAATATACTTAACACTACTGAACTGTACATTTAAAAATGGTTAGGATGGTAAATTTGATGTTATGTGTTTTTCACCACAATTTAAAAATTAGAAAAAAAAGTTCAGAGACTTAAAAAATGTTTCCAGTTCATATTCAGCACAGAATGTTCAAGTATAATAATCTACTTTCCTTTGAAAAGATATCTATAGGTCAATAAATACCAAACTATTGTTTACATATTTCTTGATAGCCTAAAGGAAACCAAAAACCCAAATGGGAATCAAGTTTTCATTACTTCACCTACCAACATTAAAAGAGAAGCCTTTATTATGTACTACCTGAGAACAAAATGGGTACTGCTGCTCTGGTAAAGGGAAAAAAGCAGTATTATTAGAAATCTACCTGAATTATCTGCTAAGTTCACAAATAGCTCTTTATGCTGAAGAATAAAACTGGCCAACATTATTCTCCCTAAGATTCATTCAATTTGTTGGTGCCTAAAAGCCACCATTTTTCAATGAGGTAAACACTTGGAATAGAAAACCCTCAAAAAATTAAACACATATTATACTTCCTTTTATGATATTACTCAAGGATTGTCTTCACCAAAGGCATACAGCAGTAGGTCAGGTACCATTCTAAGTCCTAGAACAACTGAATCAGTACTAGTATATTCAGTAGTAGGGGTGTGGAATCAGTCCAGTGACAAAAATGATGAACTGCAGGCCAGAGTCATATTTAGCAGCTAAACCTAACTGGAACCTAACTTAAAAAATAATAATAAACAATGTTGAAAACACTGACAGAAAACAGAACAACTTGGAAAAGTATGAAAAATAAACCGATCTACATAGGAAACTTTAATCAGACCTCTAAAACTTTATACATGTCCAAACTTCAGATAGTAAGGCAGGTTCAAATTTTCAGTGGCTCTCAAAAGATCAGCATTATTTGAAACTCTGGTGAATACATGTGGGAAAAAAAATCTATCAAATTTAGCTGCAAGGATAAGCAATTTAATAAGTTGTTACTATAATTTATAAAGAAAAGATTGACTACATTGTTCCATGATTATACAAGTATCAGCAAATGGTACTGATTATCCAAATTAAATATTTATAAGGACTTCTATATGCAAGGAACTTGGTGAGATATCCAAAGTGCTTGAGAAAACATTCACCAAGAATCATTTTTTTCTCAGCTACTTTAACCTTACTGATGCCCTGCAAGTTCTTAGTATCCTAGCTAATATCTCAAAGATGTTTTATTTGTAGGTATGCCAACTAAACTTATGCAATATAGATATAGATATTAAAAATACTCTTGGAATTGATTATGGAAAACACATATGTGCATGTATGTGGGTAGTGGGAACATGTGTGGAAATATCTATATAAATATACAGATACATATATATATAAACCCCATTTAAGTGTTTAAGAAAAATTATTCAGAAACATATAAAGGTTTTTAGATGTTCTATAAAATCAATATGCCCTTTCATCTAGCTCACCTTTTCTCATTTCCTTCAACTACTGAGATTATATACAAGCATTTAGTACTGTGGGCTCTGAAGATCCTAATATAGGGCATGAAACGGGAAGTATTTACAAGAAACACTGAGGTTACAGAATACCGGTACTCCACAAAAAATAGGCAGATAACCTTATGAAGAAAATACATGAACTATATTCAATATTAAATATTTGAGACATCCAAAATTCTTGATAATTTATCCTTTTTTTGAATACAAAATGTATATTTAAGTCAGCAAGAAAAAAATCTTATGATGAAAAATGTCTTCTGGGAAGATGTTTTCTTCTAATTAATCATGAGAATCACAATCATTAGACTCAATCATTGTCATTTTCATTTGGAAAATTGTGGCTTCCTTAGTTATTTTAATGCTAGTATCATTTTCATGTGCCAATTCAGGATATTACTCCTTGCATCCTTGCTTATTCATCAAAATAACTGAAAGGCATGATCTCTCCCCTCTGTTGAATTAATAAATCTTAACATACAAAAACATCCTATCTCCAGGCTCTTCTCTTGGTCAAAGTGGTAAGAGCACAGCAGGACCACCTTCAACCTCAAACTTTTTGTGAGCTTTATAGACAAGAACTTAAGCATCCTCTGGTGGAAGATGGCAACTGGGAAAAGGAAAATATGGGTTTAAATTACAAATGTCCTCAGCCTCTCCACGACAATCAGTTTTTTCTAAGGAAACACCGAAGCCATATTTTTAATAGGAGGTAGAAGGTAAACGTGTCTAAATGCCTTTCCCACTTATGAAATGTGATGCAGAAGATCGGGAAATTAGTAGTTCTGCTATACACTGACAACCTGACAACCAAATAATAACAGTTAGTATATCCAATAATAAGGAAATAAGGATAACTGAATAATGGCAAGTTTCCTATCTGTCTTTGAACTCAAAGTTTAGATCAAAACCTTAAGCAATAAGACTGCACAGTGCTACAGATAACAAAGGAAAATGAAAGGGAAATAAATCCATTATTTTAAAGAAACAAACTGAAAAGTTCATGGCAAATCTGCCCAACTTACTAAAAGCTGAAAAATAAAGCAGCATGAAAGGGCAAACAGAAAAAGATTAATGTGTGAGAAAATACATGAAATGCAATTCCCTAACTCCATAAAGATAGAAACAAAGTGACTCCAAGTTGCAACATATACTTTAAATGCAACAGAACTACATTCAACCATTTCCAAAGCCAAAGATGTTCAGGCACTGAAAAGTTACTCTTAAAAAGTAAAGCATAAACATTTCTAAAATAAGGGAACAATTCTGCTTCTTTCTATATAAAGAAACCAAAAGCTGTAGTTGTGGGAAGAATTTCCCTGAAATCTGTGAAACTCCTGAAAACTGTGGCTCATGGAACTTGGGAACAAGAACAAAATGTGTGCCTAAAAGTATCACTGTGGTAATAGTGCTTTGCACAACATAGGAACTGAACTCCTTGGATTTAATATTCCTTTGTTATGTGTAACATTACACATTCTTCAGTATCTTTTACTTCCCAGGCCAGTTATCTCAAAAAGTGTTATAATGGACCACCTTGCATTATCCCATAGTGAACCATCATGTGATTTAATGGTCTTGTCTCATCTTCAAAGAGATAACAGCAAGTGCAACAGAGGAACTGGGAGAGTTAAGGGAGAAAGGAAGGGTTCTTTCATATTTTCAAACAGCCTCTTTTCCAAGGGTTTGCAGTTTAAAAACAAAACTCTGGACCTGTCATTTAATTCAAGAATGGCTTCAGAATTCTTCCTGCATAGTGCCTTACTGGACACACCTCAAAAGCTGAGAAATCAATGTACTCAGCCAGTTAGTGCACTACAATGAAAACCTTCTTACCTTTCAGAGCTATATAATATGGTTAAATTAAACCCTGATACAACAAATAGAATAGTTTCCTCTAACATTTTAAGACCACTAATCAACTAGTGTCTGTCAGTCATTGCAAGAGTTGCACAATTGCCTGTGGACAGACTACCAGAGAAACTGAGTGTGGTGAGGCAGGATGTTTTCCCGTTTATTTCCTGAGTGAACTTTAAGGGATTAAAACTAAATTTATGTCAACTTCATAGCAAAGAATTCAGATTCGAATTCTGAACACAATTACATTTTAAGAAAAGAAAAAAAAAAACGAGGGCTATAAAACCATATACAGTGTGGTCATTGTTTCACTTTTGTATTATGTGCATACTGGATTTTAATCTGAAATGTTTTACACTTGTATTTCACGTTATACAGTTTCGGGACTGGACTGTTTTTCCACAAAAAGAAAAATCAACTGTTTTTCCACCTTAATAGTCAACCTACCTGCCCATAGTTGTCTATGCCAGTTACTAATCTATTTAAATTTAATAAATCAAAAGCTGTCCTTAGGGATTGGCCAAGAGTCGTAAGTCCTTCAGCCTGAAGGTTTTTCAGTTCATTCATAAACGTTGCATGGTTTTCTTTCCATCCGGCCTGAAAAGAAAAACGTAAGAATTTTTTTTCATCTTTCAAAGCCATGTGCACACGGACGGCCGTTACAATCTGCCGTTCACCAAGGAGCTGCTTCACTTTGCTGCACGGTTTTGAGTAACGTGTCAATAACGCATCACTGCTGAGGAAACTCTCTTCCAAAGGAGGCCAAGAAAAAACCTGCTGGCTCCTATAGCTTTCGGCAGCTACCAGCCTTCGTACTTTATAACTTCCCCGGGAAGCGTACTCCCCAGCCTCATACCCAGAATTCGGGGATGCAAAGATACTGGTGGAAAGCAGAAGTGAGCGGGACTTGCGAAGTTCACCTAGCGCGCTGTCCCACCGGCCCGCGGCCCTCTCGGGGAGACTCCGCAGCCCCAGCCCCGCGGCCCCCGCCCCGGCCTCGAGCCGGTTCCCCTTTAATGCAGACCCAGGCTCGGCGCTGCCGGGCCCGGCTGTCACTCGGGCTAACTTGAATAAATATCCCCCACAGTTCATTGCTGCCGCTCACGCCGCGGAGGGGAAATGTCGGCCATGTTGATCGCAGCGCCGCCGCCGCCGCCGCCGCCGCCGCCGCCGCCGCCGGGCCGGGCTGGGGAGGGGACGGCGGTGGCCCGGCGACTCCGCGCCGCGCCAGGACGCTCCGTAGCGGGGGAGGGGGTGGGAGCCCGCAGGGGAAAAGACCTCAGCGCCTGGAGCACAGCGGGTGGGGGAGGGGAGCATAATGAAGGGTGAATGGGGGGGCGGGGAGGGTGAGAGAGGAAGGAACAGGGAAGGGAAGGGAAGGGGGAGGGCGAGGACTGTTACCTTGATAGCATAGGGCGGCTCTTCGAAAGTGACCAGCATATACCTGTCTCCTCTGCTGGCAGGGTCCCGGGCACGGAGCTGCGGGAGAGCGGGTGGGGGACGGGAGGAGGAACAGGGCGGGCGAGAGGGAAGCACAGAGGCGAGGTTACCAGGCGGAGAAGGGGCGCCCAGCGGCCCCGCCGCCCCCCACAGTACCGCACACGCCGCAGCCGCCCTCCACACACAGATCGGCCCCCGCACACCGCCCGGGGCCGCAGCCCCGGCCCGGGCCGAGCCCGGCTTGCAGCGCCCGCCCGCGCGGTGGGGGAGGGGGTCCCCTAGCCCGGCAGCTCCCGCAGTCAGGTCCCCGACACCTCCGCCTCGCCGCCCCCGGCCGCCCTCCCCCCACCCCTGCCGCCCGCTGGCCGCCGGACCGGGGTCGCCGCCCGGGCTCGGTCAGTCGGTACCTTCATGAAGGTCTCTACCGCGCCTTTGGCCGTGTCCAGGTAGGTGGTGCCCAGATGGCTGCGCTGGTTCATAGAGGCAGACGTGTCTATCAGGAACAGTAAGATGGGCATAGTGCTGGCCGGGGACACCGGGGCCCGAGGTGGTGGAGAAAGAGGAGATGGTAGAGGTGGAGGCGCCGGTGGCGGCGGCGGCGACCGCCGCTACGCGGGGCGGGGGAGCGCGGCCCCCGGGAGGAAAACACGGTCTGGGTCTTTCCTCCGGCTGCGGGGAGTTTCTCCCCCGATAGTTGAGAGGAAACTCCCCAGACCCAGTCCTCCCAGTCGTACCCCCGCCTCCGCCTCCTCCTGCCTGCCTGCCCGCTGGGGCGGGCGCCCGGCCGTCTGTCTGTCGGTCCGTCCCCCCCGCCTCGGGGGTCCCGTCCCCGCTCCCGGCCCCTGTGTGTGTCCCAGCGGGAGACGGGCCTGGCTCCCAACCCCACCCCCGGTGCAGGGAGTGGGGACCTGGGAGCTGGCGAAGAGGGGAGTGGGCTGAGGGGAGATTGGCCCTGGGGCTGTTGGGAGAAGTTTCAGGGACTCCCTCCGCACCCCGGCGGTGTCACCACTTTCTCAGCCCCTCTCGCTACTGAAGCGCTTTTCTCTCTCACACTCCGGTTTTAACTCGGGCAGGGGCTGCAGAGGCTCCGCCCCCTGACACGTCCTCTAGCCACGTGATGCACCGCCCCGCTAATCTATTGGCTGGTCCCTGGCCTCTTATTAGCATATTCAAACAGCTCAGGGGCGGGGGAAGCTTGGAGGCTGGCTCCGGGAACAGTTTTGGAGCACGCGCGGAGGCGGAGCGTCGGGTGCGCGCTAGAGCGAGCGCGAGGGGCGAGCAGGCGGGCCGGCAGACGCGGAGGCGGGCTCCGGGAAGGGGCGGGGACAGCCCGCGGAAGGACGGCGGTATGGGGGCGGGGGCCGCGGCCGTGAGTCTGCGCGTGAGGCCCGTCGGCCTCTCCTTGGCTGTTGGAGGTGATAGGGGTCGGAGGAAGGGAAATGGAGGCTGGCCTCAGCTCCTGTTTCGAGGTCGCTGTAGCGAACCCCTTCTCCAATGGACGAGTGAGGAGGGGATGAGTAGAGTGATCCAACGCCCCGTTAGGAGTCGGGGCAGGCCGGCGGTCATCCTCCGGAGGAGGGCTCGGGGCCCGCGGTCGTCGGAGGAGGTTCCTTGGGCCTAGGAGGGCCGGCCCCAGCGCGGGCGGGCCCGGGGCGGGGGAAGGGAAGTGAGAGGTTGTTTATGACCAGGGACTAATCTCCTCCGCCAGTCACTCCGCTCCCTTAGGGGAGTGGGGACGAGGGGCGATCCTCGTCCGCAGCTTCGCTCGGCCTTGGGCAGCGACCGAGGGTGAGGGCTGGACCTAGCCAGGAGCCCTCTCGCTGGAGGACCCACCAGAAAGGGAACAAACCCTTTTTTTCCGAACTCAGCCCTAAAAGGGCAGCGGGGGAAGACTCAAATATCAATAACAGTTTATTGCCCTTTTTATACTCGGGGAAAAGTAACCCGTCCTACCCAAAGAAATAGCCTCTCACAAGCCATGTTTACTTAGGGCCACAGAATATCAAGCTCAGAGCTAAAGGGGGCCTTAGAAAAGCAGCGTCCATTACTCTTGTTTTTAGATGAACAAACTGACTTGGCTTTGCCCAGGTGACACACAGCACGGGTTCTCCATAACCCTGCCAGTGCTCTATTCCTTGCACTCTACGCTGTCTCAGACTCGATCCAAATACTGCCTGAAGGCAGGCGTTCTCGGATAAAACCAGCCCCTGTCATCAGGCTTGATGGCATAATGATTCCTCTCCTAAATTATGTCCGAGGAAAAGTTGCCTCAAATATACTAGTTGAAAACTTAAAGACATTGCCTAAAGTCGAATTAGGGACATACGACCTGTATAAGACTGTGTAGAGATTTATAGGGCCTCTCCTATTAGCCTAGCATTTCGATTGTTTATCCTGAAATTCTTAATTATTTCCCTACTGGTCACTCAAAGAAGTTGTTCCTATTACCATTAACACAGAACAGACATGTTTTGTGGCACTTTTCTTAAATTTTGAATTTTATAACTCGGACTTTTCCTAATACTTAAGACAACCTCTGAATTTTTGTTAATTTACAGTAGGGCTATTCAGTAATACGGCGTTCTGTATGCGCCATAGAAGAGTAAAATACTTTTAAGAGATTTGGACTACTAAAAGTGGAGTAGCGAGCTTACATCCAATATTTGCTTAGGACCAGTGGAGTTAAAAAATGGTTAAAATATTGTCCCTGCCTTCAAAGAGTTTGTGGTTTTACTAGAAGAATATTGCCTACATATTATTAGCTACTACAGAGTAGAAAATGATTAGCTACTAAATAATTCAGAAAAGAGAAAAATTTATTTCCCTAGGGTAATGAAAGAACAAATTTTCCAGGGTCAGTAAGTTTAAGCGGTGCCTTAAAGCAGTGTTTCTCAAACTGGGATCCTAGACCCTGGAGATAAGAATTAGAGTTCTTTGATACTTTAAGTTTTTTGTTTTCATTTTAATGACAGTATACAAATTGTTTTATTAGTTATAAAGACACATTTTTTCTTTCAAAGTGATAATTTGCAACTGAAAGATTTTCATAGAGTTGGTCTTCAGATTTCTCTATCAGTGCTTTCAAACTGTGCTCTGTGGACTCCTGCCTTTCAGAAAATGTATTTTCTTGAATCATAATTTCTTTTACGTTTCTCAGGTTTGAGAAACACTGCTTTAAAAGATCGGTAGGATTTGGGTATGTGGGTAAAGGAAAAGAAGCTGCTGGTGAAAACTCCTTCTAGACGTTGAAAATGTAGTAAAGAAAGGAAGTTAGCACAGCATTGCCAATGGCTTCCTGGGGAACAATCAAGTTCAGCTAGGCTGGAGCACCAGGTACATGAAGAACAGTATAAGATCCAGAAAGGTAGGTCAGGTCTGGATGGTAGAGGGCCTTTGTTCCAGGCTAAGAATTTTTTTCCATATAAATTGGAGTTTTTAATTAGGGTGCTGAGTACAAAGCAGTGTTTGAAGGGAATCGAACTAGATGAGTGAGGTAGATGAACATGCATTAATAAAGACCTTACCTATTGCCGTTACTTGAAATCATTTCCAAAGGAGCCACCATGGTCTTTCTTCCCTGACTCCATGGAGTTGGCAGATTGTTGCACTAGGGTCGTAAGGGGAGGTGTATGGTAGAGCCAGGATTAGATGCAAAGATCAGGAGAGCCAAGTCCGAGGAGCCAACGTGGAGCATATAACCAGAACCTATGCTTGTGGTGGCACCTGAGATCAAAGGCCAGGTTTCCAGTTCAGAGGCCCAGAAGTGCTGGAAGGCAAGGCCACAAGGCAGAACAGGAAAAAAATCAGGACATACATAGGCAGCAAATCAAGAGGCAGTCCAAAACCAGGAAGCATTGACGAGTGGTCCCTAGACAAAATTGTGAAATAGGCCAAGTTTATTCTTAGTGACTCTGGTTGGCAATTAAGCTATTAGTTGGTGATGGCTTAAATTAGTGGTTCTGGGCCAGGAGATGTACATCAGCATTATCAATAGAGCTTAAAAATAATAATGAATGTACCAAATCCCCAAACCCAGAGGAAAGTGATACAGTAGAATTGGGATGGGCCCTCCACCTCTCATTTTTTAAAAAGCTATTCAGATGAATCTTAAATAATGCTGATTAAGAGCTATATGCTTAAAGTATAGGAATATGTGTCTAGCATCTAGTAGTACTCAGTAAATAACTTTAAAAATTCACATACCCTTAGAGTTATTACATTTCTTAAAACTCCTAAAATAAATCTGCAAACTAAAAGGGAAAAAAACTATAAATGTGACACCAATATAGATAACAGTGGAGTTTCATCACATGCATATTTAAATTGCTTGAATTCAACTATGTTTGACAAAAAGGAAAAAGAGAAAACAAAATAATGCCAGAGACTCACACTGTTCCCCTCAATGAGCTTCGGCCTCGCAGGAAGCACAAGATGGGAAACATGAATCTCTTCTTCACTCAATCTCTGTGATTCTAGAATGTGATTCCAGAAAGATTCTGGTTATATGCAGGCTTATTTTTCTAAAACATGGCCCCCAAATGCAAGCCAACTATTTCATCAGACTCAACTGAAGAAACTGAACTCTTGCAATGCTAGAGGGAAAACTAGTTGGAGTAGGGTGTGCTAAGCCCTGTGCTGTTGCAGTCTAAGGGATTAGAGAAGACTTTTCTGGGAGGACATTGGTGGGAAGAAGTATGTGGGAGAAAACATGCTCTTTGCTGCTGTTTTTAAAGGAATGCTGCCCAAATGCTATGGCTCCGATTTAAAAGGGAATGAATTAATTATACAAAACCCTCTGAAAGAATGGTGACTCTGGCTTAAACAATAGCCTAAATTGTTGAAATGGAGCTATTCTAACAATTAAGAACTGATGAATTATATACTCATTTGTAAGAGCCAACCAGAGCCCTTTAAAATTATTTTAAACTAAGCAGGGTAACACGGTTTAAAAATAATTACGTGCCAATGACTTGGCTTATGGTATCTGGTTGTACCATCTGAAAAGAATAATCAGATGAACTTAGTGTTCCTCACATGTAACCTAACAAAGTTTCTTTCGGCTGTCTTACCATTCATTTCCTCAGCTCTCTGTTTTACTCTTTGAGATCACAATAGTGATGTTGAGAGGTCGAGAACATCAGAAAAAAATGAAGTAATAAGCATAAAAAATTAGATGTGAACTTATGCAGCAGAAAGTATTCAAATAATATATATGGAAATTTAATTTTGGTCATCCTAATTTATAATATTATATAATACCAATTATATAATGTCAATCCTCAGAAAAAAATGCTACTAGCGACTACTATTAACAAGAAATTAGACCTTTCCAACGAGCAGCATTTCACAGTAATAGTTGAAGTCTTAGGCGATTCAAGATGAGTACTGAACATGAACATATCCAAATTGAGAATTAGAACCAAAGTGGAACAGTTTCTCTATCAAAGGAGCATGGACATAGCAGTAATTATTTAAACAACTATTAATAGCCCACCTACTATGTGACAGGCACTATTGAAACCCTATCACTATGGTAAGCCATATAGAGTTTATAGTTTAATGGAAAGAAGACAGAAAAATAGTGAGAATACACTCTTATGTCAGCAGACCCCAGACATGATACAACCAGACCTGTATTAGAAGATTGTTTTGAAAATGCAAGATAAGTTACCATATTTTATCAATTCTGAGACACCACGGGTTCTAAGAAATGCCATTACTTTGGGGCACTGAAAGAAAAAAAAAATGCTGCTAATTAAACTACAACATGGGAATTCCCTGGCGGTCCAGTGGTTAGGACTGGGCGCTTTCACTTCAGGGCCCCAGGTTTGATCCCTTGTTGGGGAACTAAGATCCCACAAGCCGAACGGTGCAACCAAAAAATTAAAAATAAAAGTAAATAAACTAAGACATATTGCTTTCTTATCAATTAGAATTTTTCCATACTGTACTGAATTCTACCAACCAGGAGCATTAGTGATACAACATGTTTTAAAAGAATACTCCACTATTGTCCT